ACAAACCATGGGTTAAGAAGGCTGTTCTTTTTCCCAATCCTCTGTTTATTTCCGGTTCCTCCACACAACAAGCTACGTTCAGTAGAACAATGTCTCCGGTCATAGCCAGAAATGAGACAACCAGCAGCAAGAACAAGAAAGAGACGCCACACAAGTTCTTGATCAAATCTCCTCCGAGATCAGCATCGAAGTTTCAGGTCAAGATCAAGAGCCCACCTAAAGTCTCGGTTTCCCCTACCAGAAATGGAGGTAACTTGGCTCGGAAGTCACCTAGAGGCTCCAATTCTCCGACAAGAAGCGTTGCCTTGGGAAAGAAGTCTCCTGCAGCTTCTTCTCCTATTAGAAAGTCTCCAAAGCTATCAACCGCTGCGAAGTTCAGAAGATCATTTACTCCTACGAGAAATGGAAGTAACTCGACTCGTAAACCGTCCATTTCACCGAAAAGAGTCACGCTTCAAGCATTTCTTTCTCCGGCAAGAAATGGTAACTTGGGAAAGAAGTCACCTAAACATTCGGTTTCTCCGACTAGAAAGACGCAGAAGCTATCAACTGCAGCAAAGCTCAGGAGGTCATTTTCGCCATCAAGACTAGCGATGAGGCTCGCGTCTCCACTGAAGAGCCGGAAAAGTGTTGGGAAGTTTGACGATGATGATGAGATGGTGAGTGGACTGAAACAGCGTCCGGTTTTTGTTCCCAAGAGATTCTCGATGGTGAGAATCTAAGACATAAGAGAGAGTTTGTTATGAAATAATATTCTTGTTTAAGTTGAAAACAATTCTTTTATCTATAGATTAAATAGACCAAACTGTGATTAACAGTAGGAAACAAAACAATCGATCGGGTCCCACAAAAACACCACACACAATTATTGAGCAATATACGACACGTAACTTTCCCTCAAAGCAAAGAATCTAAAGTTGGAAAACTTTAACAAAAAGCTTCAACTTTGCTTCTCCACTTCCATTTACAGTTCTTGTGCTACCTCAAGCCAAAAACAACCAAAGATATTATTAGAGGTCACTCAGATTTGCTTCAACACAAAGATGGAAACTTCTAGAAACTCCACCAACTCATCGCTCTTCCAATGGTTAGGTCTAATAGAAGATTCTGATCAGCCTTCTAGTTCTACGCCTCCTCGAGTCATCGCCCTTCTGGCTTCAGTTCTTGAGAAGATGATTCAAAAGAACGAAAAGCCATTCCGCAAAAGACACAACAAGTTTCGTTTGTCAATATGTATAAAATTATTAGATATTTCCTCTATCCTCGGATCTCATGTTTGAATAATCTCCTGGCGATGGACAGGGACGAAGAGATCACTATGTTCCATGGCTCAAAAGCACCATCGATGACGATTCATCGTTACACAGAGAGAGTCTACAGGTACGCTAGGTGTAGCCCTGCGTGCTTCGTTGCAGCCTTTGCTTACGTCCTGAGGTATCTGGAAAGACCAGTGGCTACAAGCATGACTCGTCGTCTCACATCACTCAACGTTCATCGCCTTTTCATCACCAGTCTCTTGGTCGCAGCCAAATTCTTGGACCGCAAGTTAGTATCTTCTTAATTAGACCTAAAATCTTTCCTACTCTAGATTGATTGTAACCAAATTAGTTTGTTGTATTTTAGGTGTTATAACAATGCGTATTATGCAAAAATTGGAGGAGTGAGCACGGAAGAGATGAATAGGCTGGAGAGAACGTTCTTGTTCGATATTGATTTCAGACTAAATATTACAGTAGAGATGTTTGAGAAATACTGTCTCATGTTGCAGAGAGAAACGGTACCGTGTGATTCAAGAAAACTTAGATCAGTCCTTGGAGAGATAGCTTGTGGTTGCCAAGCGATTTAAACCCATGAAAAGAAAAAGAAAAAACATCATTGCCCTTAGATCTTCTTTTCTTGATTATGTTTTCAACTAACGTGTTTTCTCAAGATTATATGAAGAAATGAATCAATTAAAAAGAAAGGAACAAGACCTTAAGTTTGAAATCAAAACATTCTTTTCTTATTGAACGTGTCAACTCCTCACAGCAACTTACAAAAAATCTCTTCATTAAAATTTACAAAAATACAATGAACTTATACTAACATGTTACATAGCGATGTCGGATCAAGTTTGCTTCGCCATTGATTGAGCCACCACAATACACTTTTGGCTTTTCGATGTCGGAAAATGTCACAAAATATTCGGCATTTTGTCAGGTTGTAATACAGTTAATGGTAGCTAAGAGTTTAGATCACATGAAAGGATAAAACTCATCGAGAAATCTTTCAGTTACATGCGGTCATCAAAGTAAACAGAAATCAAATGACTCCATCTACAGTAAAACCTCTATAAAGTTATAACAATGGAATTCTAATATTTTATTACTTTATCGAGATTATTAATTTATCGAGAGATAATTAGACCAAAAACTTAATTTGGGACTCGAAAATTCTATTCATTTATCGAGGTATTACTTTATCGAGTATTACTTTATAGAGGTTTTACTGTACATTTCCGGTGACATCAGCTACTATCCCAGGCCAAACCTTGAAAGCCCAAAAATATTGGGCCTTAGGAATTGCAAGTGACAACAAATTTACATATGTGGATTTTTGTTGCTGAAGTGGCTTCCACGGTGTTGCTCTTGTGTTGGAACCTTTTGACAGATACAGAGGTGCGATTACGCGTATAAGAAAGGTGGTAGGTTGGTTATGCTATTATACTAACACAACTATATGCTTATTAAAAAAACCATTTAAAAACCATACATGTTTTCTTAATCCAAACAAAATTCTTACTTTCCGTTATTTCTCGTAAGACTTTATAAGCTTTTATACTACTTACAATCTGATAGTTTATTCAATTACTTATGACTAACCACCTTCAAAATTGGGTCCCAAATCTCACACCGCTCCTATCAGACGAGGGTCACAAGTTACACAACCTGTTAATCAACTATTATACTACTATATGTTGGTGGGTTGTATAGTTTGGCTTTTTGAGTTTCATGGTTGGTTGTTCCATGTTGCAAAACATTAATGAAAAGTGAGATATTCTTCTTCTTTTTGTCAATAATACTGAGAGAATGGAGATATTCTTTCTGCCAACCATTTTTTTTTTAAATACTTGCATGTTGTTATTTTATTTTTTGTCAACACTTGCATGGTATTCAACTCTCTCTTTTTTTCTTCTTCTTTTAGCTGCACATGGTATTTAGCTCATTTGGTGGCCAATATAATTCTAAAAATCATTAGACATTAAATGCAAAATGAAAGATAAGTTGGAAAACAGTCTCTTTTGACTTTCGACATTCTTAATACCAAATGGCTTATTTTGTTGACTTATAATAAAATGTCTTAACGAGTAATGACAATTGCTTTTGGGAGAAAAATAGCAATTTGGCTACCACGATGTCTCGTGTTTGCGGCATATGGTGGTAATCAGCTACCGTGTAAGTCCATGTGCTCTTGAATTAATAAAAATTATAATCATTTAATAACTTTCAGAAGCTTCTATATGTTGTGAACTTGTGATTTGTTTACATTTAATCTGATAATTTACTTGTGAATGGTTAACTTCTATGTATATCAAAATATATAGACCGTCATGATTCTTAATTGTGGATCTAGTGTTGAGATCTAGTTCTTGACATTCATACTTAGTTTAGTTGACATGACACTATACTGAAAAAGGTTGGTTACGTTGTGAAGTCAATAAAGAAACGAATATAGCGCCTTGTTCGAGGTCATTAATTATCAATAGGGAATTTTCTTTGGTGGTCGAAAAAGAGAAAAAAGACCTCCATACTTACCCAAACATGGATTAATTGGTTCTCCACATGACTATGAGGAGAAACATGAGTGAAACAGTCTCAATCCAAGGGAGGAACATCAATTGGACCAAATTTTGGGAACATGAAGAGGTAAGGAGTCCGAAATGTAGCTCTGTGCCTCCACATTGTGGGAACTTACAGTAGTGTATATGATGAACTAGACAGACCCATACTTACCCAAACATGGATTAATATGTTCTCCACATGAATATGAGGAGAAACATGAGTTAAACAGTCTCAATCCAAGGGAGGAACATCAATGGACCATATTTTGGAACCGGAAGAGGTAAGGAGTCCGAAATGTAGCCGATTCTATGTAGCTCCATCCATTGTGGGAACTTACTTGTAGTGTATATGAACTAGACGCCATACTTACCCAAACATGGATTAATAGGTTCTCCACATATATGAGGAGAAACATGAGTAAACAGTCTCAATCCAAGGGAGGAACATCAATTGGACCATATTTTGGGAACATGGAAGAGGTAAGGAGTCCGAAATGTAGCTCTATCTTACCATTGTGGGAACTTACTTGTAGTGTATATAATGAACTAGACGACCATACTTACCCAAACATGGATTAATAGTTCTCCACATGACTATGAGGAGAAACATGAGTGAAACGGTCTCAATCCAAGGGAGGAACATCAAATGGACCAAATTTGGGAACCGGAAGAGGTAAGGAGTCCGAAAATGTATCTGTGCCTCCACATTGTGGGAACTTACTTGTAGTGTATATGATGAACTAGCGGACCCATACTTACCCAAACATGGATTAATAGGTTCTATACATGACTATGAGGAGAAACATGATGAAACGGTCTCAATCCAAGGGAGGAACATCAAATGGACCAAATTTGGGAACCGGAAGAGGTAAGGAGTCCGAAATGTAGCTCTGTGCCTCCACATTGTGGGAACTTACTTGTAGTGTATATGATGAACTAGACGGACCCATACTTACCCAAACATGGATTAATAGGTTCTATACATGACTATGAGGAGAAACATGATGAAACGGTCTCAATCCAAGGGAGGAACATCAAATGGACCAAATTTGGGAACCGGAAGAGGTAAGGAGTCCGAAATGTAGCTTGTGCCTCCACATTGTGGGAACTTACTTGTAGTGTATATGATGAACTAGACGGACCCATACTTACCCAAACATGGATTAATAGGTTCTATACATGACTATGAGGAGAAACATGAGTGAAACGGTCTCAATCCAAGGGAGGAACATCAAATGGACCAAATTTGGGAACCGGAAGAGGTAAGGAGTCCGAAATGTAGCTCTGTGCCTCCACATTGTGGGAACTTACTTGTAGTGTATATGATGAACTAGACGGACCCATACTTACCCAAACATGGATTAATAGGTTCTATACATGACTATGAGGAGAAACATGAGTGAAACGGTCTCAATCCAAGGGAGGAACATCAAATGGACCAAATTTGGGAACCGGAAGAGGTAAGGAGTCCGAAATGTATCTGTGCCTCCACATTGTGGGAACTTACTTGTAGTGTATATGATGAACTAGCGGACCCATACTTACCCAAACATGGATTAATAGGTTCTATACATGACTATGAGGAGAAACATGAGTGAAACGGTCTCAATCCAAGGGAGGAACATCAAATGGACCAAATTTGGGAACCGGAAGAGGTAAGGAGTCCGAAATGTAGCTTGTGCCTCCACATTGTGGGAACTTACTTGTAGTGTATATGATGAACTAGACGGACCCATACTTACCCAAACATGGATTAATAGGTTCTATACATGACTATGAGGAGAAACATGAGTGAAACGGTCTCAATCCAAGGGAGGAACATCAAATGGACCAAATTTGGGAACCGGAAGAGGTAAGGAGTCCGAAATGTAGCTCTGTGCCTCCACATTGTGGGAACTTACT